TAAGTCGGTCGCTAACTTAATTAGTGAAATTAACGAGACCGTTCGACATGTTGAAGCTAAACTAACTACAAACTGATATTCGTTTCAAAAGAAAGAGAAAGAGAAAGAAAGAGAGAGAGAGAGAGAGAAAGAGAGAGATATTTCTTCATCGAGTAAAAAATAAAAAAAAATAAAAATAAACCTTTTCACATCATCGGTAAGATAATATTCATTTGAGCGTAGGATTAAAAGCGATATCGTTCTCTTTTTCTTTTTTTTTTTACGATTAAAAAGAAACAAGATAACTACTTACGTTTTAAAACTATTACAAATACCTACGCATACACCTTTAACGAGAATTTAATTAAATGAAAATATGATCAAAGAGAACATTTTAGTTTTAATGCTTGAAAGCAACAACAACAAAAAAAAAAAGAAAAAATAAAAGACTAATAAAAAGACTAATAAAAAGAAAATAATAATAATAATAATAAAAAATAGTAGAAGAAAACGGCGACTTTCTAAAACGATTTTATTAATATTTTATAATAATAAAAAGATAATAATAAATATGTATACGTATAGAGTTTTATTAATTAATAATCAATTTTTTACAAATAATATTTTTTCCAATTGCTCAAATAATTTGTAATAAAAAAAAGTACAAAAAAATAAAAATACAAAAATAAAAATAAATTTCTTGTCAAACGCAATAAAGGGTAAGTGGGAGTGGGGGAAGGAAACATAAATAATAATATAATAATAATGATAATAATAATAATAATAATAATAATATTAATAAAAGCAAGAAACACGCAGGTAGGATAATTATCGAAAGTTATAATAATTCAATCGCGTATTTTAATCGATGCTCTCGTCCTAATATGGTCGAGTTTAATTAAAGACGATTTACCTTACCGTTCGTTCATTCGTTTATTCGTTCGTACGTTCGTTCATTTCTCGACATTAAATCGATCTCCGGATGTATGAGTAAACGATCGAGAGAAGAAAATAAACGTCACGTAAGATGAATACGGAAAAGTTCGTAATAAATTAATTGAAAAATATAAACTAAAACAAATTTTTTGTATTCATCGTCAACAACGAGAGAAGAAGGTTTAGGGGAATCAACTTTTGATATTTCGTCAAATCGCAATGAATAAATTTTGTTTATAAACTCACTCCTAAGATGAACGCGGAAGCATGTAATAAATAAATTGAAAAACATAAACTGAAACAAACAAATTTTTTGTTTTCATCGTCAACAACGAGAGAAGAAGGTTTAGGAGGATCAACTTTTGGTATTTCATCGATTAGCGGTGAATTAATTTTGTAAAAACCCTCTTCTAAG